TATAATTTTAGAGCATACTTATGCTTAGCTCGCTTCACACATTTCTATTGCACCGTATAGATAGCGGTCGAACGTTTCCGGAATACTCAGCAACCGGTAACGGTTTATTGTCAAACTGGGCTAAAATTGACACATGTAAATGCATTTCTCATGCAACATCTTTGTTTGCGCAACCAATAATTTGTACATAATAAAAGATGAAATAATTTATGTTGATCAGTTATTAATATTGCATATGAGATGTACGTAATATGTATGCATGTGCATTATAATAATACGAAATAATACGAACAAGTTTGTAAAAGATAAAAAATGTGTTAACAAAATATACTTTAAATAATAAATTATTGTCTATATATATATTTTCTTATTGTGTACAATCACATAAATTTCATGTATTTGTAAAAATAATTAAAATTATAGCCATGAATAAAAACTTTAATATTAATAATTGTTTTATGCGTACTACTTTTTAAAATAATCAGTACTTAATCATCACTTATTGTAATTTAATTGTGTGCTTATATGTATGGCCTACATTATATTTAAACAAATTTACACATATGTTTGTTGCTTTATTTGATATTTTTAAGTCTAAAATTATATAAATATATTTTTCTGTCTTAGTTTGATTATCTCAATTACAATAGTATATGATTTTCAAAGTAATATTAACAAAGAAAATTTCAATCGCATGATATCATTTTTATTACAATTTAAAATTAGATACTTGAATTTTTCGTAAAAAATTATAAAGTGATCACAATAATGTCGACGTAGTTGCTAAACTTGATTTTTCGATCAAAACGAGTTCTAAGAAATAATATGATATTGGTACAATAATAATAAGCAAAAACATCGTTATAAATTTTAATAAAAATGAAAATAAGAGCATTTAATGAATATACTAATAGGACTACTATTCTTCTTTCAAAACTGGTCGACAAAGCGTCAACACTAAATATTCATGGCTGAAATGCTCGCCAAACGGTATCGGATGACGCACTAAATGCGCATGTGCATATAATAAACTACAGATGAGAGTTTATGTACAATTTTCTCTTTCTGTATTGTCTTTTACTTGCATTATACATTTACACAATAGTGCGTTAGAATACATTGTGAAATGACATTAAGATGTTTTAATTAAATTTAATTGACTATCATTATTCTAAGAAGTACACTTTCTTACTTTTACTATATCGTAGAATTTTCTTTTTATAACATCTATCAACAAATTAATTTTTTTATTTTAAAAATTATGTATTTAAAAATATATACTTATTTAATATCTTTTTATATTATTTTCTATCACAAATATTTACAAATGTTCTTAAAAAGTAATAAAATAATTTATTTTAAAAAAATTTGCCATATAAGATATTTAATAATTTATGTAATTATTAAATTATTTGAATAACATTAAAAAACAAGATAAAAAAATAAAAAATAAAATACTCTTTTCAATAATGCAAAAATTTATAGAGATATAGATGACAATATCGAAACAACTATTTGGATATAATAATTTCTCATCGTGGCCCTGATGACGGTCAATGAACAGTCACCCATGATTCGACCCTGAACATGAACGTGAACTGGTCAGGTACCGGCCAGCCAGCTATACCCGCCTTCCCTTCCGGAATAGCAATTACCTCTTCGACCTCTCAGTCCTCCATAGTCAGCGTAGGACGCCGGCGATAGTCGTTCTCAGTCAGGGACATGTCCATGACTCGTTCCTGACGGTGCCCGTGGTGGCAATTTTTTCACCCAAATATCCGAAAAATCTGAATTAAAGTTTGAAGTGTATAATTATTGGTGCAATAAGTTATTCTCCGATTGCAAAACATGAAGTCTTTACGTTACGTTATTTTATTATTCATTCTGTTTTCAGCAACGAAAAAATGTCAGGTAAGATAAATTTTCTTTGTAAATATTTTCTTATTAATTTTCTTATCAATAATATATGTATAAATGTCTCTCGGAGAAGATGTATTTGTTAAAACATTTTCTAAAATGAATAATGAAATGTTTAAGTTTTTATAAAATGTATAATTTTAGTATTTTTAATTTCATTATAAAATAAATAAAAATTTAGAAACTTATCAATAAAGTAATTACAAATAAAATAACCAAAATTACCAATATAAAATAACAAAAAAATACAAATTATATTACAAAGTAGAAAAAAATTATATACATGATTAAATTATAAAAATAATCTTTTTTCAAAATTACAAGACTTATGCACTATTACAACTTAGAATTAAGTTTATATTTTTTACTGTTTTAAAAGTTTTAATTAATCTGTAAAATAAGTTTATAACTTACATTTAAACTAAGATTTATGTAAAATAAATATTTTTTGTAAAAATGTAATTATATAAACTGTATAGCTATATTAAATAATGCGATTCTAATCTGTTTTGATTTTAGGCTGGTATATTTAACGAGAAAACGAAAAACTTTTTTGGACTTTTTGGTAATAAACCACCTTATTCCAACGATTCACCTGCGCCTTGCTACTGTAGTAAGTAACTTAAATATACATTTTTTGCTAAATTTTATTTTTAGTAATCATAGCGTTAAAGACAGTGTAAAAAAAAAGTATATCACATACATTGCAATCTAGGTTGTGGGTTACGAAACGAAGAAAGTCGTATAGTTGGAGGTCAAACGACAAGTATGAATGAATTTCCATGGATGGCTAGATTATCGTATCTAAACAAGTTTTATTGCGGAGGTACACTTATAAATGATCGCTACGTACTTACAGCAGCTCATTGTGTAAAGGGGTAGGTATAACTTGTCTATCGTATATTTAAAATAAAAATAAAATTAATATATTAAAATCTGATCTCTAATATTTTTAATTTTTTTTATATAATTTTCATTACTAAAATTTTTATTAATGTTAGTCATTGTGTTACTCACACAATACACATACAAATATTTTTAATATTTTAACAGAAAGATTATTAATAGTATAATAAAAATAAAATCTAAACGTAATAATGATCGAAAATAATAATATATCTCTAACGAAAGATATATCCTTTATCTCCTTGACATATATAATTGTTTTGACATTAAAAATTTACGCGCACTTAAAACAAAGTCTTTTCCATGAATTAGTATAACTGTAAGTATAAAATCGCTACTTAATCGCTCTGTTGACATCATCTACCAGATACGCAAACAAGTCAAACTTCATATTTGCATCCTTGATCAATAATGTCATGCTATAAGGAAAATATTTAATGCCGTTAATCCTTCCATCTTGAAGAAAAGAAATGCTAAATTATTTCACTATTGACAATTATAATTCTTAATTATGTACATATTATGAAAAGAATTTATTACCTTAAAGTTGGTTATGTATGTTTATATATCAATTAATTTTAATCAATAGATTTAAAATATATTTATATAGCATTTATCAAATACATTATATTTTGCGCACATAGATGATACTTTTCTTAATATTATAATTCATAAATTATTAATAAATTTATTAGTAATAAATTAGTAATAAATTTATTAGTAATAAAATTTCTAAATAATTAATTAAAAATGTATTACATTTTATACTGTTGATTAAAAAATTTTAGAGCACATTTAATTAAATTGATATAAAAAAGTTGTCAACATTATTAAAGAAATTAAGTTCAGAAAGAGAGAACTTTTTTCTTCATTGCAAGATTCATTCATTTTAACCGTGTTCCCCCATTACAATTTCATTCACCAGGCGAATGTGATCAGTTCTTCTAGTCTTATTTTCAGATTCATGTGGTTCATGATCAAGATTACTTTCGGGGAACATGACAGATGTACCGAAAAAGGAGTAGAAACTAGATATGTGGTGCGTGTTATGACCGGTGAATTTAGCTTCTTGAATTTCGAGAATGACATCGCGCTGCTCCGTCTTAATGAAAGAGTGCCATTAAGTGATACGATAAGACCAATATGCTTACCATCAATGTTGGGTAAGTACATTGTTTTATAAAAATGTGCTAAAATGTTAATAATAATATCTGATAAAATATTTTTGAAAATTGGATTATTATATGAAAGTATCATTTCTTTACGACATAATTATAATGTATAATAAAAACATACTTATACAAATACATAAAAGAATTAATAATAATATAATAATATAATAATAATAATAATAATATGTAAGATGTTAAAATCTTTATTTTAAAGTGTTAATTTCCATGTTTAATGGACAAATTCGTAATAAATTTTAATAAAAAGGTATTACTTCAATCTAATATATAACGAGTGCGTTATCAATATGTGTTTTAAATACATATTATTCACAATTTTATGCCTGATTAACATTAAAAATAACGTAACCAAAATTATTAATTTTGGCTAGTGTGTTTTTACATTATAAAGTATAATATTGGACAATATTGCGCGATCTGCAACTGATCGTTATGTTTATTATGCGACGAATTATGCAACAGCAAAGTCATAAATTAGTCAATATACGGGTACCTACTCTCAGTTGAAATATATATTGTCGTGGTGCATATATAACTGCGTAATAATGAAGATTTCTCTCTAAAATCGAGGACTTGAATTAGCATTTTGTATGCACGCAATAATCTTTCCTGAAATTATTAAGCAGGATAACATGACATACTTATATAGCCTGTTTATTGGCAATATATAATATATTCGCATTAATAATACACAATATACAATGAATTAATATTCAACAATTTTTTAATATCATTTGGTTTATATTCTTTTTAATGTGAAGTTGATTATTTATAAGATCCGATTAATGACTTATTGATATATTAATATTATATTATATTATATTATTATTTTATTTATTTTTGATTAGAAAATTTAACTTTGACTAGATAAAAGAACTGTTAAATATTTTTCTATTTTAATTAAATACTTTACTAATTATTTACATAGAATTGTTGTTGTTAATTATCTTGCATAATTAATTATTTGACATATAATGAAGAATTACTTTTTAGATAACGATTACGCAGGAATAAACGCAATCGTATCAGGTTGGGGTACATTGAAAGAAGATGGCAAACCATCCTGCCTGCTCCAGGAAGTCGAAGTTCCAGTCATGAGTCTTCAGGCTTGTCGCAATACTAGCTACAGTGCTCGAATGATTTCAGATAATATGTTATGTGCGGGTTATATTGAAGGACAAAAAGATTCATGTCAGGTAATTCTTATTTATAATAATTTATATATAATAAATTAAAAAAAAATTTAACGATAAAAGCAAGAAAATTATTAAAAGATAAGATGTATATATCTTACAATTCTTACAATACATTAGTGTTATAATATTGTGTCAATAAATTTAGTTTAGAAACGTATTTAACTAAAAACCTTTTATGTTAAATATTATTGAATTGGGCAAGAGAAATCTTTTGAATTACAGGGTGACAGTGGTGGACCTTTGATAACAGAACGTGAAGATAAGAAATATGAATTGATCGGTATTGTATCGTGGGGCAACGGATGTGCAAGACCTGGTTATCCAGGTGTATATACGAGAGTTACGCGATATATGGATTGGATTTTAAAAAATTCGAAGGATGGCTGTTTTTGCGAACATAATTGATCATTATAATCATCTGACAATTCTTAATGAAAGACATGAAAAAGAGCAAAAAATGATTTTTATATATTATTGTATAAACAATTTTCTTGAATTTTTGTGCTATGTTTTCTTCAAATCCATATGCTATATCCGTGATGATGTTTTTTATGCACAATTTATAGACTTACAAACTTGGAACAATGTTGCACCTGATTATCAGATATTTCGATAAAAATCGACTAAATCGAACAATCTTAATTTTTATATAATATTATTTTCATTTTGTCTATTAGATTTATTGTTGTTATATCTCTGGTTCAGCAATATGGCAACAATAAATAAATAAATAATGAAAATATTTTAAAACGAAAAATGGAGATGATACATCACGATATTTGTCAAATATGCAGAAATAATATTATACTGTGCAATATTTATTATATAATCTTCTTTGCCATTACTGAAATAGCCAAAGGCTAAAATACTCAATTTTGTTGCCAAGGAATTTGACTATAGTGAGATTGAGATTATAGATTTAAGCTACCAGTGTCATATCTTTTTTTAGAAAATGTTTATTGTAATAATACTTTATATACAGAAATGTAATAAACATTTGCACAAATTACCTTGAAAACGATTTATATATGATTGTATATAATTGTTTTATAGTGTGCAATGTGTAAAATAATTTTCTATAAAATTATTAAGATTATTATTATAATTAAAATCCTTTATGTATTGTATATATCATAGAACAATTATATACTTCAATATATAATCATATGTTTTAGTTATTTTTACAATTTCATTTTCTAAAGAATTTTTTTATAATGCCAAATATAGCTAAAAATAAACAATTTTTAATTTTAATAAAAGAATTTATAGAATTAAATAGTAGGAATTATTTTAAATATGTAGACTTGCATTATTTTTGTATTGTATTGTATTTTATAAAAATTTATGCTTAAATTTCAAATGTTAAAAATGCTAAATTTAATTTAGTTTATATTAAGGGACGTACTGATTGTCGAGAAACACATAACGGGACTGGCAGACCGGTTATTGAGCAGCATCTCTACCAAAAGGAGTTAAAAAAACGAAATAAATTCTACAACGGTAGAATCCGTAAAGGCGAACTTGAGCGTAAAACATACGGGATATGTTCAGTTTACATTCTTGAGAGTATCCCAGGATGCGGGCGATGATAGTCCCGCTATACGACACAAACCAGTTGTTTAAGTGCGACCAGTATCGTCTCGACTACCGACGGAAAAGTCATGAAGCTGCAAGACTATGTCAGATATCTCATTTGTATCTTAGTAGTGAATTTTGGAACAATTAATTGCAGTCAAAAGGGCATCGATAATTCCGTAAGCATTTCCATATTAATCCTGCTGCTATTTTCTGCCGTAGCCTATTTTTTTAAATTGTTATACATACCTATGAATCATATATTTGACATAAATGGTAAATATCCAAATCTTTTTTTATATCAATGTCTCACTATACTATTATTTTTTATAAGATTGCAATGCTGTTTATTGTTTTTTTTACATTTTCCTGTTTTTAAAGAAATTTAGAAAATTTGATAAAATTGAAAATTATTATTTGAATAATATCAAGAAATTCTTTTAAAAGTATGAAAAATATATTTGTTAACCAGAATCAGGATCAGATTGAATATAGACATAAACGCGGTGTCTTGGATCTTTTTTTTGGAAGATTCCGAACCTGTGGTGCTTGCTGTAAGTAATGTTAATACATACGTATATATAATTCAATAAATTGCATTATATAAGTTTAATCAATGAAAAACTTAAAAAACATTAGAAAATTTAGAATAGAAAATAATTTGTACTTTTATCTTTATATACTATGCGACGTGTTTATTAAGTGTGTCTTTTCAGTAATTACAAAGATTAAACAGTACTGTCAGATTATTATATCTATTAATTTTTATTATAAATATTATCTTAATTTTGCCATTTCATAATTATTTTTTATAATTTTCAATTTGTATTATACTATCATACAAAATATGTTAAATATATTTTAAAATTATAATTCGAAAGTTTTATGACAGTTTATAGCTATATTGCGTTATAAAACTAACTATTAGAAGCATTAATGTCGTGCGCCCGCATTTACAGAAAAACATCGTAATATGCGTTTCATCATGTCTATTTTTTTTTGT